GCGTGCGAATCAACGTTCTTCCTGGCTGCATTAGGATTCAACTGCTTTCTTACCATGTACAAAACACGGTATAATAATCCATCTCACAAACCTGCATCGCCAAAAACACCTCAAACCCCTTCATCTGCAGTGACAAACATGGATGGCAGATTTGACGAGCAGAGAGATTCCCTAGTTGAAGAGCTGGCAGCTGTTATTAAGAGCTCAGAGGAAAGAGTGATGCAAAAAATTGGTGAGTTGGCCGGTGACATAACAAATTTAAAGCAGTCATTAACCGCTATAGAGAAGAGAATAACTGCAGTAGAGAACTCTTGCGCTAAGGTTCAAACTTTACGCGGCGAAATCGCTGATGTTCGTGCTCAGCTTACCGAATTTCAAAGCAGCTTGTCTGACATTTTCACTAAGGTCTTTTTTTTCCGTGTAAAGGATTTTTATTGTTGAATAAGGAAAAAATAACAAGGAAATGCGACTCTGAAGTTGCACAATTACAGGACTCATGGAAAGGACGAGAATTAAAAAAAAAATTTAAAAAATAAAAAAACAAAAACAGCATGACTCGTTAATGAAATTGAACCAACATGGAAGTATAAACTTTCAAATAAGACCAATACCAATACAATCTATGGGGCCATTCCAGTGTTATGCGTGTTATATTTGTTACGCTAACGATTTTTTGTTAATGTAATCACATCTACACCGTTAATTCGATTTTCAAAATGTATGTGCCAAATTAAAGGGCTTGACCTGTAGATATGCAGTAAGGTTTAATTTTTTTTTTAAAGAGTTGCCACCTGTTAAAAAATTATATTCAAATTATTTAATAAGGTTAATGAATTATGTACATATTACAATATGGGTATCAATCGAAATGGCTTTGAAAATGCTTTATTTTTAAACTACATGTAGGAGGGTTGCCACCTGTTTAAAAAGTTAATTTAAATTTCAGCGTTTTAACCTTAACAGGTATAGAATAATTAATACTAACACAATAAGACTGAATATAAAGTTATATGGTCAACAAATCGTAAATTAAAATTAACCTAGCTAACAATGATAACACAGGGCAACACTGATTTTGTTGCGGCAAATGTTAAATCTGTTTTTGATAGACTTTTTTGAGCTGATTACGAATCCGTAATTATAAAGATTCCATCACGTACATATTTTGTGAAAATCGTGGTCAAAGTGTCAAAAAATAGAGTTTTTTCCAATATTTGAGAAGCTCGAGCAAAGAGTAAAAATGTGGTAGAACCTTCCACTTAGGCTTAACTTAAAGCTAGAACCCTAGCCCCTGAAAATACCATCCCTGCACCTTTACTTGATGGCCATTTATAGTCATTTGTTGAACAATAAAAAAAATGCTGGCAAATTGTGCTATTGAAAAAAAAATGCTGCCAAAATCAGTTTTTGCTGTTCAATAAACGACTATAAGTGATCTTAGGGTCAAGACGAAGAGATGGTATTTTTAGGGATTGTAGTCGAAAGTTCAAGCCTTAATTTAAGCTTAAGTGGAAGGTTCTATCACCTTTTGTTTAATTGCGGCAGGGACTCAAACTTCACCAAAAGTCAAATTTTACTGCCCACTGTGCGTCGGTTCGAGTGGGGAGGACAATGAAAGTGCTTTTAGTAACATCGGCGAAGCCTTTCCAATCAGCTTTGGAGAAGTTGACAGAGGTCCGGTGATCCCCGGAAGCAAAGTCGGCAGGTTTATCAATCGAGATGACTTTGGCAGATGGTCTGATGCTAAGGTAGTGCCGATGCATGCTTCCCTCCGAAGTTTGCCTAGTTTTACATGATTACACTGGTTCCTTAATGCTGTTCGCCATATCAACGAATCGTAACATAAGATCGGATTCGTACAACCGCTGTGTACATCCAGAGTACCAATTTTGAATTAAGATCCCATGTATTCCAAAACGCCGCTTACAGGAATATGTAATGCTCGCTTTCTTATGTTGTTGTTGTTGTTGTAACAGCATACAAACTCCCCAAAGACTTTTTGGGGAGTGTTCCTGGAGTGACAGTCCTTGGCCAGATATAAATCTGGGTCGTTCCGGTTACGTAGACCCGACTGTCGTGGGAACGCTTTCTTATCTCTCTCCTTGATATTTTCCAACTTAGTTTAGGATCCAGTATGACTCTCACATACTTCGCTGGTTTAGATAATAGGAGGTTTTTCCATTCAGCTTTAGTAATTCAAAGCTAGGAAACTTATTGCTGGCCGTAAAGAGAATTAATCCTATTTTCTCTGGGTTCACTCTAAGACCATATTGCTCAGCCCATCGGCATACTTTTACGCCCCTTAGTTGAGCTTGAGCTGTACTGAGTTGATGGTGGTAAGCCATAAAATTGGAGAGATCACTCTCTCGGGAGGAGTGCCACTGCTAACGTACCGGTTCTTGGCTTCATAGCAAACTTGAACGTACGATGGTTTTCAACATTAGACTACAACAGCTTCAGCTGTCGCGAGAGATCAGCGTCACTCTGTCCCAGTTAAGGTCTGGATTTTGAAGTTGTTGTTGTTGTTTCCGTAACAGCATACTTATTCTCCAAAGGGTTTTTGGGGAATAATGCGGGAGTGACAGTCCTTGGCTTGATATAAATCTGGGTCGTCTGATCTCGTATATGGTCCAGACTCTACCAAAAACATGTTCGGTTGTGAAGATTTCCTACGACAACAGTCCCCTGTTCCGCTGCCCACCCAAACCCAATCAGCTAACTTCCCTTTTTCTCTGGTCCAACTGCTTCGAAATACAACGTTACCTAGACCTACCGTTGACTGATTACAATTAATGGACTAACCAATTTAGTCGGGGCTTAGCTGAGCATTTATTTTTCCTGCTTTTACAAATTAAATAAGTCCTCTTCAAGAAGGTTTGTTTAAAAAAACACGTGTACATATACGGTATATGGGGTATGTAAATATTCCTTTTCCCTAGCAGTAAACCTTTTAGTGTGGGCAACAATGATGTTTTTCAAATAAGGCAGATCGGAATATGCGCTCTCTGGGAAGACAATACCTGTAATTATTGTACCATGTTTCACGTCTAAAAGCACAGTTTATAGTAACCCATGCTTTGTCTCTAAGTAAAGATATGTATAAGTTTGGTTACTGAAGCATAAAAATGTACTTAAATAAGTGAAGCGGAGTGTATGGGTGATTACACATACATATGTGCAAGATTTGAATTAAAATGTAAAACAAACAATTAGAAGCTATAAAATACTATTCAATTTGTGCATATAATGTATGTACATATTTATTACTACGTACAAAAGTAAATATAGAGATATTTGGAAGTTTTTGACTCACCGGGCTTTCGTCTTTTGGGTGTACAAGTTTGGGATGAGGCTGAAGATACCTCCGACGCTATACCTGTTTGAACACTACTTGTTCCAGTTACCACACCAGCTGCACTTGAGACCATTGCACTTATTTGCGAAGAAATACTTTCCGAGCGGCGGAATGTATCTCGCAATCGATTTAGGGAGGATAATGATGGAGAGCTAGACAACAGGTTACTGGACGCATTGCTGACGATTTCTTCACTATCCGGACTGCGTAGCAGAAGATTGCGAGAGGTACTCATTTTCTTACACAAATTATATTTCAGCACTACACTACACTTTTTTCAGATGCAACAATTAAAACAATAATATTACACAAACGCTATTTGAAAGCCAAAAAATAAACATCAGAATTAAACAAATGGACACCAAAAAACCTCCGACGCAAATAATAATGGGTTGTGGGAGATCAAAAACAATTTTCAGCTGTTTTTGACAATCCAGCTATCACTTGCAACTGTTTTTGCTATTTTTCGATAACACTTGCACCGAAACTGCTGTTTTGGTACTAAAATGTACTATCGGAAACCGAAATCGTTCCCGCGACAGTCGGGCCTACGTAACCGGACGACCCAGATTTATATCTGGCCAAGGACTGTGACTCCAGCAACACTCCCCAAAAAGTCTTTGGGGAATTTGTATGCTGCTACAACAACAACAACCAAAGTGTAAAAATGGGTAAAACTTCATTAGTAAGTAAGTATTGTTCTGTGTTTTTACTTTTTTCTTTTGCTTCATCTTGTCAGATCTTGTGTAGTTGGATCATGACTTTGTAGGATATCCCCACTAAAGTGCTAGTTTTTTCCACGGTACACAACGGGTTAAACGCCTTGCGACCAGTAGCAGCAACTGCCGATTTATTTATTTATATTTATCACCTTATACTTCCGGTAGTGCATTCCAGTGGAAGTTTTGTGATCTATCCCTGTTCTGACATTTATTCTTGTTTTTTTTTGTAAATTATCTTTTGGTGTTATTTATCAGTTCTGTTTTGTTTTATAAAATTATTGTCAATTTGACATATCTAGTTACGACTTACGACACAAAAAACAGCCGTTTGCACACTGGCCGTCTTTCGATAATTTACTCGAGAAAAATGGATTTGCTGAGAAAGGTATTTATTTATTTCTTAATTAAATTGAATCTGTTATACATCTTTCCTATTGCAGTGTACACAGCAGCTGCTGGTGAATGCAAACATGTGGGCGCAAGCGCTTTCTGTTACGTGCACTGCGTTCCATACAAGTCCTGTGTGCAGCCGCGTGCAGGCTGGCCGCTATCGTGTCACTACGAAGCGTAACCGTGCGCTCACTTATGAAATGGCTAATCCGCCCCATTATATTGCCCATCGAAAGTCTTGGAACTCATGGAATACATGTTTGTAAAAAAAAATATCAAAGTTGAGATCCCCTTTTATATCTAAGAAATTTTCTTTCACAGCAACTATGTTGGATGGATTACGCCCTTCGCAGACGGCAATTGAAGACTTATTTTTGCGGAAATTCATGACCGGTACTTGGCATGCGCTAGTCGTTTCCGAAGTGATTATCAAAAGACAGCACAATATGATAAGAATAGCTGCCATTGTCCGTCAGGCAATAAGCCCGCGGAAGATGTATTTCCTTATTGGTTATACGGAAGAACTGTTATCATATTGGTTGCAATGTCCTGTTACATTGGAGTTGCAAACAGTAGCTGATAAAAAAGATGTTATATTCAAGTATATTTAAATTGTACATCGTAATTGTTGTATGTACAACGAAAAAATAAGACAAAGTAACCAAATAACTATAAACCAATTATCAGTGCACAGTAATCTCATTGTGATTCTTGTTACTCTGCCAAGTCTTAATGGCCTTATTAACTATGGTTGCATCTTGATCTTTCACCTGCAATGTATTTGTGAACAATGTTTAAATATTTAGGTAAGTATATTAAAGAAGACAAACCTGTTCAATTAAAGTTTTGAGCTCAAGTAAGGAATTACAATTCAGTACATGTTTCCTCAATGTTTTAACTAACTCCAGGAAAACGAAAACTACAATTTTTCTCGATCCTCCGCAAATTTTATCCCATACTTTAACTAAAGCCGTGTCTGTAATGACTCCAGCAAAGCACGTTACATACCATTTTTCCACAAGTTCACCTGTGTTGTAAACACCCAATCTCTCTAAATGGCTATAATTTATTTAAAAAAAATGTAAATATGTAATTTGAAAACATTTAGGCTGCATTCCTTAATTCATTCTGAACGTTTGGAATAAACTTTTTTGTTTAATTGTTCTTTAGAACGTTGCTGATGATATGTTAACGTATATTTCAAACTCATTCTGTTTATTCTGGCTGTGAAATGGGATTATCTGGAATGTATAAAGAAACGCAACCTTAAAGTGTCTTTACTCACTTGTGCAATTCTATATCTTCACGCTTCAGCAATGTCTGAGAGAGCTCCATTAATTTTGAACATTCCTGCTCTATGCCCTTACTGCATGCAAAAAACTCTTTAGCTATCCAATAAGTTTCCACATCATTGTCGAATATCTGCAAAAGTACTTTAACGATTTCCATAAAATTACTGTCATCTTCTGGTGGGCCAATTAATGGGTGTAGCAATCGACCATTTTCCAATAGCCACATTGTTTGTAGTACTTTACTTTTTGTGGTAGTCTGGTCTATATATTGCATCATAGTGACTGCGCGGAGCAAATCGTCATAGACTGCAGTGCGCTGTTCTAAGATATAATCCATAGAGTTTTTATGGAGAGGCAATATGCCAAGTATAATACTCCACAACAAACCCCGTTGCGCCGTAGGCACCGTATAGCTTAAACAAAACTGTTTTAGCTTCGAGTGATTGCGTATATTGTCTTGGAGAAGTTTATTTAATGACTTTTTTTCCTCCACAGAATAACATCCTACTTTTTCGTAGTAGCTTGAACGGAAATTTCGTTCATCCATCCTCACTCCTCGCCACTTGTATGCACACTCTTGCTTTATTGTTAAAAATGTTTACTTCAGAAGTGCATTTAATTGTTCTCAATATTTTTCAAAACGAGGCTAGTTTAAAGGATTCTAATATTCTACATCAACAACTTTTTGTTATAAACAAATGAGATTAGTGAGAGATAGGAATGAAACAATACGAGTAAATACAAGTTCACTCGATACTTTTCGTTCGATACCAAGTATTTTTGTAATCGATACTTTTGAACCAAGAATTGCCGAAACTAACCCGGCGTTTACATGAGACAATTTTGCCAAGACAATAGCAAATCATTCACACTTTTTCAATAATACATTCACACTTCTCCCGTTGTCTTTGTCACTGTCTTTAATTTTTCCAATACAGTGAATTGGACAATTCGGTAACGTCTTGGTTCTTCAAGGTTGCTTAATTGACAGCAAAAACCGCGAGAAGGTGCAAAGTCGATTTAATGCAAAGAATATACGCTCGAATAACGATTAAGCGAACAAAGGTGGCACCGTAAAACATACTGCTACCTTGGTTTTGTCGATTTTGACAATTCTGGTCTAAAAGTAAATGCACCTCAGAGACTTCAAATGCACTAACACTTCTACAAAAATCACCCCTTTTAAAATTTCCCTCAATAAATCTTATTCTAAATACTATATTTTTATGGCCTTATTCATAAAAAATAAAATAGGTTTAAAGACCTTTATGATTACGAAAATTGGGTCTTCTGACAATTTCTTTTAACACCCAGTTCGGCTTTGTTTACTTTTTGTACACAAATGTCATCAATCTTGTATTCTCTAATTGCTTCACCAAAGCCGATATAATGCGATATGTACAAGACCCAACTGTTCGAGCGGGAGAGTAAATTGAGACATACAACAATACGACACTTACGACACCGTTGTGGTACTATTGCAAATAAGCGCAAGAAGCCGCCATTCTTGGGTTATTTTCTTTTTCGATTGTCATCTTATTGCCTTTTTATAATCAAGACGTTGCCATTTTTAACTTTATATTCTTTTTCGATTGTCATATTATTGCCTTTTTATAATCAGGCAATACGAGCCACTGGATTCATAAGAAAACCGCTTTGATATGTATAACAGCAATGCATGCACACTTTTTCACTAATACATGCATACATTTACATACATTGAGGTTTCGACAACTAATACATATTTCTTTATTGACAGCATTGTCCAAAGTAAACGCACTGTAAAATCAATTAATTGCTTTACAAGTGGTAAAAGATGAAATGGTGGTTTCTATCGATAGTCGATAGTTGTTCGACCATCTATAAAACTATCGTCAGTCTGAAACCATCGATAATCTTGTCGATAGCATCGATAATCTGCCAGTCCTACAAATATTAGTTTGACAGCTATAGAATTAATGCGAATTTATTGGCGACTCCATTTGTTAATTGGGAAAAAGATGGATTTGTGTGCGGAAAAGTTGGTTTGTTTTCTTACGGTAATTTTATTAGGACTGCTCAAACACGGCGTATGTTCTACGAGTAGCAATGAGTATATGAAGCGTGAACATTCATTGATACGGCCATTCCAAGGTGAGTTTTGGGAACTTCAGTGTCGATCATTAAATCGACGTATTTAAAACAAAGAAAGTCGAAGAACAGGCGTCATGTATAGCTCGGTCTTTTGTATTTTGCAGGCGTTGGGATAAATTTACCATACTGGGATTTCTTGGGTCACACAATGGTCACCAGCAACTACATAAGACTAACGCCGGATTTGCAATCAAAGAGCGGTGCACTGTGGAACTATTCGGTAAGTTCGTAGATAATGTATGAATGGAAAAAAATATTTTAATGGTTGTTTTTGTTGCCTAGCCCGTTATGACACGTAATTGGGAGGTACATGTAACATTCAAAGTACACGGTAAAGGCAACGAGCTATACGGAGACGGATTTGCTATTTGGTATACGAAAGAGCGTATGCAGACAGGACCTGTGTTTGGCAGCAAGGATTATTTCTCTGGCTTGGCGGTAATATTGGACACATACAGCAATCACAATGGTCCACATAATGTAATTTAACTCGATAGCAATGTAGTATGGATAAATAAATTTAAAAAACGATTTCCATAATTAGCATCAACATCCCTACCTCAGTGCTATGATAAATAATGGCTCATGGACATATGATCATGATCGAGATGGCACTCATACTCAACTTGCTGGTTGCGAGGTGCGTTTCCGAAATGTGGACTACGACACGCATGTGAGTATACGTTATGAAAATGATGTACTCTCAATTTCCACGGATATGGAAAACCGAGGCGAGTGGAAAAATTGTTTTGTCGTGAATGATGTTGAATTGCCTACTGGCTATTTCTTGGGACTATCGGCGACAACTGGGGATCTTTCCGACAGCCACGACATACTCGGCATCAAGTTTTACGATCTCGATATAAATGTTACGGTGAGTATTTATGAATTCAAACATTTTTTTAATGATAAAATTCAAAATTTTTTTTAATTATAAATTTATCAACACGTTTTCGAAAATTTGATTTCGTATTGTATACAGCCCGAAGAGATATCAGCACGCTCTACTATTGTACCACGCGCGAAAACCTATGAACCACCTCGTGAGCACAAAGACGACCCTAAACCGGGAATGTCGAATGTAAAAATATTCTTTATACTTTTATTTGGCATGTTAGTTGCAATCGCTGGTGCTATCTTTGCGATCTCATACTTCAAAGAGAAGAACTCAAGAAAGCGATTCTATTAAACTGATACATCTCCTATCTTCCACCACTCCACATAAAACACATCACAGACTTCTTAGAAAAATAATGTAATAAAAAGATTAATATGATGAACTGCATAAGAGAGCAACATTCAGTACAGTTGCATTGACTTTATATTATAATTTATTGGGTATTTAAAGTAGAATTGTGTCTACATGAATTAATTTATTACTTTTAGGTAAATACCGCATGAAATTTGTTTTTAATATAAACAAAGACTTCTAAGTCATTGCAGGTTATTTAACATTGCAATTTCATACTACCCGGTATGAAGATACGTATTTCATCAACTATTTACAAGCATCATTAGCAAGAATTAAATAATGTAATTGTAAATAAAAAAAATAAAATAAAAAACGATTCACATAGTTTTTAATACATATACATTTAGTTCGAAGAAAAGGTAGGTAAGCTTGCGTTTAGCAAGTTCATAAATACATATATGCATAATGCATACATGAATTAATGCGGCAACAGTTTGTTGATTAAATACGCACAGTGCTTTATGTTAAGCGCTTAGTCATGTTGTACTCGTGGACAACGAGGTCCGGTGAAATTATCCTTCGGCTCGGCAACTATTGGCTGACGGGAACAAAATTAAAGGATATTTTTGCACTCGGGATGAACAACTGGCGCCAATTCGCAAAGGAGAGGGGCAATTGGAGAAGTTTTCTGGTCTCTGCCCAAACTTACAAACGGTTGTAGTGACAAATAAGAGGAACAAAACCGAATTTTAATCTAATATTGTTAGTTTCAAGCGGTTAAGAATTCGCATTGATTTTTGCAAAATTTTTTTTTAGCTTATGGTGTTACGCATTTTCTTCCATACAAATTATGTTCCATTTTTTTTTTTTTTTTTGAATGGGCACAAGAAGGGCTAATTTCAATAACGTTTTTCACGAAATTTTCTTAGAATATATTATATATTTAGAAGAATCTAAATATATATTTTGCAGCCAATACGGATAGCCATTGTATTATTTTTAAGTGTTTGTTTATTACAAATCTTAGTCTTAAGAACTATTATTTATTTATTTTATTTTTCTGACTTTTCCTGTTATTTGTTGTACTACAAAAGATCGTAGATCTTAGGTGCGTTCGTTTAAAATCTCCAGCAGAAACCAACCAACTGCCAAATTCCGGCGCAATGTCATCTGTTCTCTCACAAGAGAGAAATATCCAAAATAGTACGCGAACAGAAAATTTGCAGAAACTTGCAAGTTAGACGAACAGCTGATGTAATTTTTGTTTACATACAAANCTCGTCCGCCCGCAGGTTTCTAAGGATTCCTAAAAAATAAAAATCATAACTTACCGGTTACTTTTTATAGAAAAACAAAAACTAACGGTTGCACTGTACAACTCAGGGCCAGTTTTTCAGTACCTGTTTAAACTTAGATTAAGTAAACCGAGTTTAAATTGAAAAGCTGGCTGACTTTTGATTGGCTGATCTTGGTTTAAACCAGCCAGATCGGGCGTTTAAACTTAGTTTAAACAACGGGCGTGCACTGAAAAACTGGTCCTAATAAGGTAAGAAATGGTAGAGATTTATCATTTCGTTAAGATCAGCAACGAGAGGTTTGAGAATTGCATAATAAATGCATATCCACTTAAGAACGAGCGAATCGCTTTTAAACACAAGGGCGTATGTTTGTTCGCTGCACTTGGTTTATGCGGGAGCGCAATACAAGCGAGTGTGTGTGTTCGCTGCACTTGGTTTACGCGGGAAATGCAATACAAATGCGTGTGTGTGTTCGCTGGTTTTTTTTTTTGTTTATGCGGGAAATGCATAAATCGCTTTAACAGAGGTTGTTGCGCATTTTCTTCCATGTACAAATGATAAACAAAATAACGATAATTTTACTTGCAGCCAGGATTGCCACTGACAAAAAAATACTTACCATCCGCTTGAAAAAAATATCTACCAATAGCTTTTTTATAGTTATTTTAATAAAAACTATAATTTTGTTATTTGTTTAGTTATTTCAATAAGAATTAAAATTGTTTTTAAGTAACGTTTTATTTAACTAATTTTACGGTATTCAACCAAAAGCGAAAGTGATGAAACTAAAAAATCAAGGATTCAATCTATATACAACATTTAGAAAAATTCAAAAAAATTTGGTCTAAATTTCGAATTCCCTACTCTTAATTTGTAGAACAATTTAATGTATGGAGTTTTATAGTCGAGCGCACTTGTGCACAAGGGTATATTAACTTTGTTCGCATAACGGTCGTTTGTAACAGCCAAAACGAAGCGAGATACATAGATATGGACAAATGCATATATAAATGATCAGAATGAAAAGAGAAGTCGATTAAGCCATGTCTGTCTGTCCGCCCGTCCATCCGTCTGTTCGTGTACACGATAACTCGAGCAAAAATTGAGATATCTCAACGAAATTTTGTTAATCTCTCAAATCTCATTTTTGCCACAACAGCGATTTAACCTCAAAATTTCAATTGACCCAAGAAAAATAAAGACATCCTCGTAATCAGGAGGCCAAAATACACCATATACACTTTTCAAGCCTTTTGGAATTTTTCTGTTGTATCGCGTTATTTTCGGTCCCAGCTAAAAGCACCTCACTATTGATGAAAATAAAACAAAAGTTAAAATATAGTTTATTAAGCAGTTTTTATTAAAGTTGTAATTATGTGTGTGTGTGTGTATATGTAGGGTATGTATGTATGCAATTAGGTTTACAAGTATATATTAGAACTATGCTTCTCTCTAACATTGTTTCATCGAAATATTACTACTAAATATATGTTCGTAAGTATGTTTGTAAGAATATTTATTGGAATCGAAGGAACATTCTTATTTCTTAACATCTTTGTTTTTATTGTTTGTAATTCGTGTGTTTTATACGCATCTTTAATTGTAACAGGGTATACACTTAAAAACGGCTACATATACACAATAAAATTAGATAGTAATTAGGTTTAATAGACGACTTTGCCGATCTGCAAATGATAATTGCCATTAATAATCGTTTTTAGTTGTTTTTTTATTACATTTTGCAAATCTTGTGATTACACAGATGCATAAAATTGGGAATAAATAATACGGCAATTATTCAAAATATTGAATGTGCGAATAGTTCAACGCGTTTAATGCTCTGAAGTAATAAAACCCAGGTAATGTATTGCTTTAAAGCACTAAACACTTATGCATGAAGTAACTTTTTGATTTAAATTTCAGTTTTATATTTTTTTGGAGAAAACGCGCAAAAAATTAGTAAATTCACATTCTTTTGATTCATAAGAATCGAAGTACTTAATACTTTGCGTTGGCTATAAATGATGAATAAGAATTCTTAAGATCTTAAGTGCACTCAAGCGCATCGCTCTAATTCGAATTTCATAGAAATATTTTAGAAAGATGCGTTGAAGTTATAAATCAATGTTTTTTTTATCGACTGTTTACATTATTACACTTAAAGCTTACATTACATAACTCGAACTAAAACATGTTAGAGCAAATCCTATAAACACGCTACATAGTATACATATAAAAACGCTTATAAGGAAAATATGAACGCACAACATTTCAAACATACTGGTTATATATTGTATATGTATTTTTATGTATTATATAGTAATAAACTTCGAAGATGAGCTTCTATGTAATTAAGCAAGTAATAAAATTCAAGTCTTTAAAATTGACAAAAACGAGAACAGAAGACTTTATTGCCTTAATACTAAGCGGATTATTTTACTATTTAGAAAATTAAATATTAATATTTGGTTTAAATGACAAATTCGACTTATTTGCAACTTTTAATTATTATTATAATCTAGCACGCTATATAGCAGCGAAGTATTTTAAGTGTGCGTGGAAGTGATACACTTGCAACACATGAAAATATACTGGTTCACTACTTTTGAGCTACTGATCTTTCCGGTACCATGACTCGAAAATTCAACAACCGTACCAGCTCAGCACAAAAAAGAATTAATTTTAACTTGGCTGGCATAAACA